AAACCTTTCATGTTCCAGATGAAAGCAAAAGAGGATTATTAGCTAAGAGCAAGGTCACCTAGAAGGCTCTGAGCAGACCCGGAAGTAGGTCCCAGGTTTCCTATTTTTTCATACTGTACTTTTTCTGAGAGGCCATTCAGTGTCAAAAGCTACCCAGTGACCAGGGCACTGTTAATTTTTTCATCTAGATTCTGGAAAGAAGAGACATTTATTACAAAATTTCAATGAATATGCGTCGATCACTGTCATAAGAGGCAATGAAATTTGATAACAATGACAATCTGGTACGGACTCAGGGCTGACCTTGTGCAAAGTCTTCCTTGGGAATTTCCCCACCCAGCAATGGGTGCTCAGTTCTGGATTTCTCACAACTAATGCAGCTACTGAGGACTTACTTCCCACTCCACAAATACCTCATGCCACAACTGAATGTTCTCTATTCAAAAAGGAAAGAAGCAAGGAAGGAAAGATGGAAGGAAGGAAGGAAAGAAGCAAGCAAGGAAGGAAGGAAGGTAGAGACAGCAGGTGGGAAGCCCTGAGTTCTTCTACGGACACTTATCACAGGATCACACATAGTTGTGTATGAATGTGCGTGTAATCTTCTGATAAATAAGACCTTCACATAAAATGAGTTTATATTAGATAGTCAGATAGACAAGGACCTACTTACAAGGAAGTTAGTTCTCCACAATTTCCAAATTAAGTTAAACTTACTTTCGAGGCTTAGAAATAAGGCAGGAGGGCAAAGAAAAAAACTTAAATGAGTTATATTCAGTAGACAAATGCTCTCATTTTCTTCCCTAGTTTAAGGAAAATTGCCTCCCACCATTGTCTTTACCCTGCCTGTTTACATGGAGTAAATGTAACCTATATTCCAGATAGTTTCTCAAAGACCAAAAGCAAGAAAGCACTGTTGGTATCCAAGGGATCTTTGAGCACCTGTGATTTTCAGCCCTCCTAGCACTGGCCATGGTCAATGCCTTGGGAAACTGATCGCAAAGGAAACATTAGATAATTCAGCCTCTGAGTCTACAAATTTCAAGTTTATGTCTTTATTGTCAATTTTAGTCTCCCTCTAACAGTTTTCTTGTATTACTCAGGGTCCTCCAAGGGAACAGAACTGACAGAAAGAATATGTTTATTAAAGGGGGAGGGCTAGTAGATTGTTTTACAGGATGTGATCTGGATAGTTCAACAATGGCTGTCTCACACTGGAGAGGGGAAGAATCAGGTAGTTATTTGCTCAATACATGTGGCTGCATGTCCCAGTGGACCCAACATGTAGCTGAAGGCCGGGAGAATTCCTAGAGAGTTGCTGGAGTTTGGTCCATAATGGGACCCCAAAGAAATTGGTTCTCACACATCAGTGAAGGGCAGCCTCTGTGCTACTCACATTTCAGGATGGGTCTTCCTACTTTGAGTAATCCGATCAAGAAGCTCTCACAGAAGCGACCAACAGTTTGTTTTAGTTGATTACAGATGCCATCAAACTGACAAATCAAGACTAGCCACCACATTTCTCTATGACAATTTCCCCCATTTTCCTCAGCCCATAGTATGTGAGAAAGATACTACTCATAGCGCCTCTTTCCCTAGTTAAAATCGGCAGTGTTAAGGTAGTGGTAGGAAATAGTATAGTTCTTATATCCAGTGTTTCACTAAGGTATCTGCTACCAGTTTATAAATAAGTAGTGTTTTCTTCCTATTGGTTCAAAGTGATGTTGCAGCCATGGCTTGAGCTATGAGAAAATGAAGCAGACAGACCGACACCATTATAACATAAATGGCGTTATCTAGAAATTAAGGTAACAATGGATCCTAAATAGTAAGGCTAAACCTACATTCTAATTTTTTCCCCCTAAGAGGTAACATGAAGTTTAAATTTACATTATGAATACAGCTTTCCTTTTATAAGCTGAAGAACATTATTTTGGTCCATTGAGCAAACTCATTCTTATTCATTGCCTTTTAAAGTTGACATTTAACTTCAACAGCTGTACTGCTAGCAAACAGCAAAAGAGTTTTTTAATATTCAAGAGAGTAGATTTCAAACTGCCACAGAATCCTGGATGTGTGGCATCCTGTAATTAATATACATTCACTGAAAGGAAGAATTACATATGGAAGTAGTTGAAGAGGGCTGAAGTTGCTCACATATATATTTCCTTACTCATACCCACAAATCCAGTTACACAAACAAGTAATTCTTCAAATTCAAACTAGTAAGTGTTTATTTCTAAAAGACTTGTCTTATAAAGCATTTACTAAAATAGATTTGAAAATATTTGCATCTATAGGCCTTGAATCCCTAAATCAAATAAAAATTTGGCATTTCTCTTCCCTTATAATTTGCTGTGCAACCACAGAAATAAGTAATTTGTTGGGGATGTAACTGCTACATCATATCAGACTCTTCACATCCCAGAATGCACAGTGGAGCCATGGCAGCCTTGCCCTTTGGAGCATAGAATGTAGCAAGAAAGAGAGGAATCCAAGTCTTGATACAAAAAGATGACTGATGTTTCGACAAAATTGGTGCACGGTGCTATGGACATCCATAAGGAAGGACTTAACCAGGTCATGGGAATGGGGGAGACAGGGTAAGAAGGTCGTCAGAAGATGATCTATCAGCAGAGACTGACAGCAGCTTCAGAATTAAACTTGAACATGTGTATCGATCCTGCTTCTTCAAAGACTCCATTAAAACTTCAGATTGTATTTATTTATTTAGGATTATACATATGCACACACACATATGTAACAGCAATTAAGAACAAAAGGGGGGCATGAATTAGAAAGAAAGCAAGGAAGGGTATATGGAACAGTTTGGAGAGGAGAAAGGGAAGGGGGAAATGTTATTATAGTTTCAAAATTTTTTAAACTATTTATTATTAGACTCTTTTAGAACTTAGAGCCCGTAAGAACACAGAGTGCAGAAGAGACAGGAGAAACAACCTTTGGGAGCTCAAGAGAGAGGAATAGTTGATCCCTGGTTTAGAAAAGTTAATACTAAATCAGCAGGAGTTGGGAGGAAATATCTACTTAGCAGTAAAGTCTGAGCCCCTTCCTCCCTCCGAGCCCCACCCCTCCACAGCAAGAGACACACTCACTGGAAAGGGTAAAGGCAAAAGTCCTTGGTCAACAGCACAATCTGGTGACTCCACAGTGTATATTTAATATTGGTATCCCAGAAAGATCACCCTTGCCTTCAAGGACAAAGGCCTGTCACACACCAGCTGAAAGATGGGCAGCCTCCACTAGGAGCCTGCCCATGATGCTGCTTTCAGTGAATGACCTGTGTAGATCCCTCCAGCGAAGCAGCATGTCAGAAAGCCTCATGACCGTAAATGACCATCTTTGAGGCATCTCTAAGCAAACAGAACATGTACATGATAAAGAAAATCAAGAAAAAAGTTATTATTATTCTAGATGCAGAAGAAAATTTCCTGTGGGTGTGAACTCAGGTAACAAAAGGGGAATTCAAATGAAAGGAAGGTAGACATTACAAAACAAGAGAGAAAAAAAGTCAAGAAAATCAGAGGGTGGAGGCAAGCAACCCCATCTCCAAATAAAGGATTTATAGGACAGAGAACAGAGAAGGTGGAAAAAAAAAATCACGAAATGCTTCTGACGTCAGGCGAGTTTATAGAGGAAAGCATCCAACAGAGTGGTCAGAAGGCCAGTATCAGTTACCATGTGAGTCCCATAATATTCAGCCATATGATTCTTATGCTCGTGAATACATTTCTGTGCATTTATACATTACAAATGGTGTGTCTTCTTTAGAGAGATGAGTGGGTCAGAATTGTTTTTGCAATGACAATTCTCAATAACCTCAAATATACTTCTTTACCCATTTATAAAAAAACAAAACAAAACAAAAAAACCCATGTCTTGCTGTACAGTCGATTCTCTTTGTTCACTGCCATGCTCTAGGACATGGCCACAAATGCTAAACTAGCAAATACTGAACCATCACAAGGACAAATGTGACATTAGAGTCCTATAAGCCTGGTTTTTGGTTTTGGTTTGTTCTTCTTTTGTTTGTGTTAGAGACAGAGCCTTACTGTGTATCCCAGATGGCAGCAAACATGCAATCCTCCTGCCTCTGCCTCACAGCTGCTAGGATTACAGGTGCGAATGATGCACCTATAAGCCTCTGGTCACACTTGACAGACTAATCAACCTTATTTTGTGTGTCTCTGCTTAGAGACACCTTATTTAGAATGTATTTATGGTTCAGGGATATTGACTTTAACCACCAACTACTCTATAATTCTTGCCTGAATGAAGCTTCCTTAATGCCTGGGTTGCCTTCCCCGCAAAAGGCATGCCACAGTTCCTACACTCAAAAACAAGACATCACTCCAGCTCTGCATTTAAGGCAGTGTTTTTAATGGGACTAACAAAAGGCGTGAAAGTTAGCAAAGCACAGAACTTAGCTATCTGCATAAAGGACACATGCTTACAGTGTGAGAGCCACAACAGCAACCACCGTCTCTTTCTTTTTTCTTTTGACCTCAGCTAGAAGTATGTGCTCAGGTGACTCAGGTTATCTGCTCATGCCCCAGATGATTTCATCAGCTTCACAAAGTATTGCTATTTTTTTTTCCAGTGGATGCCTGTTTTGGAGAAAGTTCTCACTATGTAAGCCAAGCTGGCCTGGAATTCACAACACCCTAAACTCAGCGTCACAAGTGCTGGCAATACAAGCATGTGCCATCCTGCCATCTTTTTAAGATCGAAATTAAATGTTAGAGAGTAGGAGAATTCACAAATCAGTACTGTTTCATTTGTTGTGGTCATTATTTTTACTATCGTCAATATTGCTAATTGCTAATTGTTCTCTTTATGAACAAAAGTCTGTTGTTAAAGGAAAGTCCAAGACTTTCAAGTCATGTAAATGGCATGTGGCTGACCTCAGAACATTCCTTACTCTAGTAAACAAAGCCATTGAATCAGCATTTTGTTCAATCAGCAGCAGTTTAGGGACAACTTACGGCTTTCTCTCATCTGGTAGGGATCCCATAAAAATATCCCGAAAGCCTGTGGGAGGCAATTCAGGGTCCCTGTAAGCAAGACAGAAATATATCATGTTCTGCCCAGTTCACGAACCCCAAAAGACCAGAAATAAACAGACTCCGCTGTAAATACATGAGGTTCTTTTTATTGTAAATTACAAGCTGCAGCTTGGGCCTACACAGCCCCACCGCTTCAGCGGTGGGAGCTGAGCGTTGCGCCCAGATTAGTTGGGTGATATATAGATTCTGGTCCATCCCAGCATGCCCAAGGCAGGGGCGATTCCTGCCTGGCAAGCATCTATTGGTCAAAATGCTACATTTTGAATCGATTGGCTATAGGAAGGTTCCCAGACCATTAATGACCAGGTGTCCCTCCCTAGGGGGATGGTCCAGTTTCCTAGCAACTGTATTTCTAGTGGGTGGGGAAAGAATGCAGTGAGTGAGGTGGCTCTTCCCCTCAGGGCATTACTAAACTTCTTTACGGTACCTACTTTAGGTCTTAATAGGTGCTAATTTATCTTTTGGTCTCTCAATCAGACTGCCATATTTGACATTTCAAAATCATTCAGAAATAATTTGGGAAAATGACCTTTAGAAAAAAAAGATTGAAGTTTGTAATGTTTATATACTCTGAAAACTAAAATAAACCAGTGAGGAAGTATTAGTATATTCTGTCGTTACTTTGGCAGCATTTTTTCCAATCATTACAATATAAAGCAAAGTCTTTTCTCTATACTTCTCTGGAGGAGCATTCTGCCTGGTATAGGGCAGTAGGCATGCCAACACATAGGTCCTACCCTCAAGGACTCTGTTGTGTCTCTTTTTGGAGAAATACACACAAAGAAATACCTGCAGTCCCCTGTGGAACAAACTTAAAATACTCAGACTGCAAGAACAGCAGATCCAATCCCAGTTGGTGACAGCTAATTCTGACCATCATGTGGTCTTTCTAGGCACATTTCAAACTTCGTTTCTTCTAAACTTCAGAACAAGTCCCTGAAGCAAGCATTTAAATAATTCTCATTTTACAAATGTGCCAACAGGATCATAGAGGCCAGATAACTTTCACAAGTAAATTGTAGAAGCTAAGTTCAAACCGAGAGCGTAGAAGCCCTGAGTAGAACCACCTAAAGAGAGTGTGAGTTCTAGCTGAACCTTGAATAAGTCAAACCTTGATTAGTGAGTGATAAAGGGTGAAGAATCCTTCTGTAAATAGGCTAGAGAATAAGCAGAAAGCAGAGACGCCTGTGACCCAGGCTTGGCACATGGCTGGGGCTACTTTAGCCTCATTCCTGTGACTATCCAGCCTCAATCCTGGATTGTATGAGGTCTACAAGCAAAAGAAAAAAAAACAATAAATACCTTTCCAAAATCCCCAGGCATTCTGTATTCTCATTTACCAAGGTCTTTTTCTTCTTTTTCACAAAGTCTTTGTTTAAAAGAACTTGCGACATCTGTTCATTTGTTTCTGATATCCAGCACTGGAGAAATAGAAGCCACATACAAGAAAAATTAATTAATCACCAACAAGGTCAGCCACTAAAATATTTTCCTACTAAGGCATATTATGATTTTAATTACTGACTCCAGATGACATTTAAAACATGAAAAATACCTCATAACCTCTGACTATTTCATCATAAGTATCTAGAAATAGTAATTCTTGTGTTGTTGGAAAATAAAAATTAGTTTCTCCCGTAAAATGGAAAGTGCTCATTCAACTAGGTACTGACTCCTCCTAGTTTCCTGTTTGTTTTTTGTTGTTATTAACCCTTTCAGATTGGTATTTTTTTTGATGGTGTGAAATTTCAAAAATTAAGTTCCCAAACCTCTGAAGGCTATATCAAGCAAAGGTGTTTCCAGATATAGAAAGTTTTAAGGGTCTATATCAGAGTTAGAATACAGTAACAGAGAGATAAAGCAACTGTCTGGCCACAGTCTACTCAAAGCCTCCGTGTAAGAGAGGTATATATGCCAACTAATTTTAGATTTTGCTGCTGCTGCTGCTGCCGCTTTTCCTTCTTCTTCCTTTTCTTCTTCTTCCTTTTCTTCTTCTTAGCAATAGAGTCTTACATTTCAGCTGGACTCATGGAGTTATGGACTTCATTTCCCAGCCACCCTTCACACTTAGACAAGGTATACAACACAGCATCCCAGGATCTTGCCACACAGATGGGGAGCATTGTGATTAGTATCCCGCAACCATTCTGGATCATTCTCAAGGCATAGCAGAGCAGAAAGCTACAAGGAATAGGTCTCTTGAGACCATCCGTGAAACTTCTGTACTAATTTTAGTCTACTGTCTCCCAGAGATAATAAAATAAAATAAAATAAAACCTTCCATGAATAGCCTCTGTTGATTTCTGGGTTTGGGTGCTTGTAGCCAAATCTAATCCTACACCATCTTAATGTGAAAATCAGTTAGAACCTAACACAAAGCATAATTCATAAAAGCACTTCCATATGTTTAAAGGGTTTTTTTTGGTACATAACATATATACATACATACATATATATCACGAACTGGAGATTGCAAATTTAGAGCATGAGGTATCTAAATTAACACAGCACAAACTCACAGGGTAATCACTAAAATTTCTATTTGATTTGCATAATAAAGCCTGGCTTAGGCCAAGTGATGTTATTTTTTAAAACTCAAATGTTTACAGAGAGGTCATTTCAGAATCTCATTAATACTTCCTATTTTCTTGAGAATCATTTTTTTTAAGATCCCTATTTTTAAGTTTGCAGAATAAACTCTCTATGTGTGCTGCATTTAAGAAAGTCCAATAGGTATAAAATCTGTGTAACAGGTTAGAGAGACTGGAAAGGTGCTCTTATGACTTTCTTATACATTACATATGTGAGGGACGCCAGCATCCTGCTCAGTGTGGCTTACATCCTTTGGCTAGGCTCCTTTCAGAAGCTCCTCCACTGGTAATTCTTCTTGGTTCCTATAGGGCCTGGGAAAGCACACTCCTCTGACTCCTCTAAAGGAAGTGCATATACTTCCCAAGTCAAGTTTTCCCTCTGAAGCCACAGACTGTTTCTGGAATGTTCTGTCCTGTGGGGATTTTGTTTATTTTATTTAATTTTTTGTCCACTTTTCATTGTGGTTGTAGCCTCATCCCTCCCTCACCTCCCAGTCTCACCCTCGAGGCCTCCCTCCCTTCTCCCCCCTGTTCCTCAGAGAAGGGGAATTCCTTTTCCCATCTACCCAGCTCATCAGGACTGAGCATGTCCTCTTCCTCTGTGGCCTGGCAAGGCAGTCCTGCCAGGGTCAAGTGATCCAAAAGCTGGCAAGTGAGTCACTATCAGGTGGAATCCCTGCATCCCTTACTAAAGGCTCTGAGAGGCTTCACCAAGCAGTACCTCAAAACACATCCAAACATTGGGCAATGCACAGGGAGTCTTGTGGAAGGGTGAGAGGAAAGAGAAAAGGACCTGGAAGTGGTAGGAGCTCCATAAGTAGAGCCAACTAACTAGGGCCCAGAGGGGTTTGCTGAAACTGAAGCATCAACCAAGGGCCATGCATGAACTGGACCTAGGTCCCCTACAAAGTTGAAGCAGATGGACAGCTTAGGTCTCATGTGGGTCCTGTGGTCTTTTGACAAGTATGAGTGAAACCCCAACCTGAAGGGAGCACTTATGTTCCCTGGGTGATATTCTCAAGGCCTTAACCCTCAGTTTACCCTTTTAGATGACCTGCCTTCACTCCCTTTCCACATGATTCATCCATCCTCCAAATAAATACCTTTGGCCAGCTCTTTTCAATTTCACCTTGTTTATTTTCTAATAATCTGAGTGAATAAGAGACCAAAACATTGATATCTAGTTATTGCCCAAATGCCAGTCATAGTCTAATTGAGGAGCATGTCACTTCACAAATGAAATAAAGATATTAGCTCTTTGGTCACTAACAAGAAATGTCTTATTTAAGCCTGTCAAATGGTACTTTGAATCAAGGATGAAGTTTTTTGCATCATTGCCAAAATATCATCATTATCATCATCATAATAACAAATAATAAGACACTGTAAAATGTCTTCTATTTAAAAAGCACTGGTTCCTTCATTCTTGTATTTCCAGACTTCTTTTTCATCCTGCTGCAGCCTCCAGGAGCTCCTTCTCTCCTCCTCCATTGCCTGGGACTCCCTCTTACTGTGGACCCAGGGTCCTATGAGCTCTTTCTTGATGCCCCTCTCAGCCTTGACTGCTACCCCATTTCCATTCCTTTGTGTCACTTAAAGACCTGAAGAAACACTCTCTACCAGATACTGCACTGCCATCACATTTGACTAGGGTTCATAATGAGCCACAGAAACCAAAGAACATCTACCCAACAAAGACAAGACTAGATACCTATAGTGCTATTTTTTAAATCTATTTTATTGACATTTCTTATGCCTCTTCCTCCTTTCTCCATTCCAATCCCTTCCAGCATTCTACCCCAACACTGGGTAGGAGAGAGAAGGAAAGTTAGTGGGGAGAGGGGGCAGAGTTCTCTTTAGCTACTTCTGGTTAGGATCATTGGGTTCCTTGGGACAAGCCCAATCCTCTTGTCAGGATATCTTCAACTTCTCTTCAAATTATATCAACAGCAATCAGTAGCAGCACGGGGGAAATACCAGCAGCCTCCTTCTTCTTCTTCCTTGGAGCCCCTCTTTCTCAGAGTTCCTTTCTCTCTCCGGGTCCTCGCTTTTTTTTCCTTTAGAGTCCTCAGATTTAAACTATCTACAGCTGGCAAGGAGTCCCTCTCAGAGCCTGCACCAGGCAAATAGTTTGATGATATGGACAATCTGAATCAGTCCCACATTCTACACCTGGGATCAAAACGAAGCTATGTTTACATCCACAACAGATACCTACATCAAGAAACACCCCAAACACCATCAACTCCAGAAGCTTAAATCCCAGCACAAAAGGACAAACATAAACAACCAAAAGAATATGCCTCTTCAAGAACACAGAAACCCTATTGAAATAGGCTGAGAAAAGCAATTTAGCTGAAACACAAGACAAGTACTTTGAAATAACAATTACAAACATGTTCAAAGCCTTCAAACAAAATATGACTAAATGCCTCAGTGAAGATCATGAAAATATACCTATTGAATGAAGACATTTCAAGACATGAAAGTATATTTAATAAAGAAATAGATTTACTAAAAAAAAACACAAACTGAAATAAAAATGAAAATTAAAAACTTAGTATGTCAAAGCAACCAACCAACAAACAAACAAAAAACAGAAATAAGCCTCATTAACACATTGAGAGAATTTCAAGTCCTAGAGAAAAGGTAGAAGAAATAGATATCTCAGTCAAAAAAAAAAGTTAAAAAAAATCCAGGCACCAAAATCTGAGACATTGGATATATTAGCTAGGGTTTCTATTGCTGTGAAGAGAAAACATGACCATTGCAACTCTTATTAAGAAAACAGTCCTTGGGCCTGGCTTACAGTTTCAGAGGTTTAGTACATTATCATCATGGTGGGAAGCATGACCACATGCAGGCAGACATGGTGCTGGAGGAGCTGAGAGTTCTACATCTTGATCCTCAGGCAACAGAAGGAGACTGTGTACCACACTGGATGGAGTTTGAGCATATATGAGACCTCAAAGCACACCTCCTCAGTGACACACTTCCTCCAACAAAGCCACACCTATGCCAACAAGGCCACGCCTCCTAATAGTGCCACTCCCCCTGGGTCAAACATTCACACACATGAGTCTCTGTGGGACGTAACTATTCAAACTACCACACTAGAAAAAAAAGATCAAAACTATAAATAGTAGGGATAAAATAAAGAGAAGAAACTTAGGTCAAAGGCATAGAAAAATTTTAAAAATCATGCAAGAAAATTTCTCCAATCTAAAGAAAGTTCTGTCAAGATACAAGTAAACAACAAGTAGACAAGATTTTAAAAATCCCTATAACATATAATAACCAAAATACTAAATGTTCAAAACATAGAAAGGATATTGTCAAAATGAAAAAGACTAGTTGCACACAAAGGTAGGCACACTAGAATAACTCCTGACTTTTCAACAGAAACTGAACACCAGAAGCCTGGACAAATTCTCTATAAACTTGAGAGACTGCAGATGCCAACTGAGACTACTATGTCCAACAAAACTGTCAATCAAATTAGCTGGGGAAAAAGAAACATCCCATAATAAAAACAAATTTAAGCAAAATCTAGCTACAAATCCGTCTCTGCAGAAGAAAAACTTTAGCCTAAAGAAGTTAAGGACATGCAAGAGAACACAAGGAATAAATAATCTCAGGACAACAAATCAAAAAAGGAGGGGAAAACATACTTGGGGGCTTCTCCGGGATCCCTGAGACCTCCCAGGACCCCCGAGCCGGAGAATCAGAACCCCTGGGTAAGCGCTTTTGTCTTGGCCAAGTTCTGTGTCTCTGTTCTGTCATTCTGTGTATTTTGAGATCTCAATAGGGAATACAGTGGGTGGTCAGAG